GGATATCCTCAGGTCACCTTAGAATAGCACTCAGTGGGGCTGACAGTTTAAGAGAATCCCTTCTTACCTGGAAAACTTATTTACAGAAAATAAGTCTAAAAAGAGCCAAGAGAGCTAACAATAACAACAACAAAAATGCCTCCCACTCTGACCTCTCCAAAGTAAATGTCTTTGTCTGTACTCTCATATACGCTTGTTCACTGATACAGTGCTTGCGAGTAGGAGTGGGAGAGCGAAAGAGAGCAAAAGAGGAAGAGAGAGACTCATTCTCCCCTGTAAGTACTAACTGGAGAACCTCAGGGAATGGACTACAGGCTTTGATCTTCTTTTAACCCTAAAGCTCAAATTGATACCTAACACATGGTTAAATACCTAACACATGGTTTAAATGGAAATAAAATCAGCTCATTTTCAAATATTTAAAATGTGATATATATGATGATTAGGAGACAATATTGTTACGAGTTGAATATTCCAAATTCAAGATAATTCCTACCAATATCTCAATGATATTTTTATAGAAATAAAAAAAAAAAAACAAACCCTCATCTTTAAACTCATATTGAATGTCAAGAGACTGAATAGCCTGAACAATCCTGCAAGAGAAAAGCCTGAGAATCACAATTCCTGGTTTGAAAACTTAATACATTACTTCTAGCAGAAAGTTATACAAATGGCCTAAAGACAGTCAAACCAATGGGAAAGATAAAGAATCCAGAAATATGCTCCCTTCCCTCGCACATGCACACACACACACACACACACACAGGTAGGCGCCAAGAGCAATAGGGAAAGGAAAGCCTTTCCAATAAATGGTGGTGGAAGTTGTATATCCAACACACAATATTCACTCAACATGGATCAAAGACACGGATGAGCACATGCTAAAACAGTGTGTAGAAGAAACTGGAACTGAGCACCTAAAGCAAGCTAATCTGTGTCTAGGTCTCATCCTCCCTAGAAGCCTGGAGGTCATCCTTGTCTAATTCCTCTCCAAAGTAAATTGTGACTATGCAAGTTTGGGGTCTAAGTACTAATGGATAAGCTTATCAACTGTGGGAAGGAGTACTGAAGACACTTTCAAGCAAATAGTAGAAACGGAACAGAATAATGCCAACAACATTCTAGCTGCTAAAAGAAACAGAAATGCGGCTTAGAATGCTGAGCAGTGGAAATGGAGGTCAGGCTCTGCGGCCTTTCTGAGCTAACCCATTCATCATGCCCATGTCTTTTTCACATCTCTGATGAAAGCAATGGTGTAGACTTACAGAGAAACAGACCAGAAAGTTGCCAGGCTCTTGCTTTTTTTTTTTTCTAACGCATCTTTAACATCTAATAAGAACGGAATTTCTGGAAATTCCGTTCAGGAAAATATTTAGAATATCAGAAAACAAATATCTTTATATGATCAAAGGATAAACACAAAAATAATTTTCTAAATAAAATATTAAAAATTCAAAAGCAATTAAAAACTTTTAGACTAAATGTTACATTTAAAAGTCACTACGCTTATCACAGTAACAGAAAAAAACAACAGATGAAGCTGCTGGTGTTAACATCTTAGGAAGTGCCAGGCCAGTAGGTTTCTTGGAGTCTCATGTGATCATTACCACACATTACCCTATCCAGGGTCACCTATAACACTACAGCATTTGTTAAAGTAAATCAATGCATCGAAGAAAGGAGTACAGAGTCGGGTGGTGGTGGTGCACACCTTTAATCCCAGCACTCAAAGGACAAAGGCAGGCAGATCTCTGGGTTTGTGGTCAGCCTAGTCTACAGAGCTAGTTCCAGGACAGCCAGGGCTACACAGAGAAACCCTTTCTCTAAAACCGAAACAACAACAACAACAGCAAAAAGAACATAAAAACCCTTGAAACTAACCTTTAAAAAATGAAATAGAAGGGGACGGTAGTGAATACGAACAAAAGACAATGTACGAAATTCTCAAATTAATAAAATATTATTTAGAAAAGAATAAGATGACTTTTAGGTATCACTTTAAATAGCCAATTTGTCTCTTGCACCTTACAGTTTCACACAAGTCCTGTGTAAAAAAAGGCCCAGATTTAACACCTCTAGTAGATCCCCAGAAACTTCTGATATTGGAACAGCTCTCCGTGGATTGACCTTGATGTCATCATTGTTTACATTGATACTAATCACTCTCTTCTGATTAAAAGGTCATGTAAGGCCATCGTAAGCAAACTGCTACATCAGCAACAAGCCTTATCTCTGTAATGCCTCTGAGAGCTACTCATAATCCTGGCTGTGCTCTTGGATATACATTTATATTCACAGTATAACTAATAAATTTTTTTAAAGTAACTCTTTAGATAAAGGGAAAGATTTTACAAGATCATGTAAGTCTTGCAAAAAGAAAGAAATCTGATTACTTTGTAGAGATCTGAACAATTTCCGTAGTTTGACTCTCTTGACACATACTGAAATTCATTCTTGGGAGAATCCCGGTAGAGCTACCTGTAGCTACACAGCAGTGGCTGCCAGAATTCCTTCTCACAGCGTATGTATGTATGTATGTATGTATGTATGTATGTATGTATGTATGTATGTATGTATGTAT